GTAAACTTGAGATCGGTTCTATGCTAAAGCTGAAGGAGAAGCATTTTAATTTGACCTTCTCGTCAAAGATGTCGGTGAAACTAGCACCTCAAGTGTTTAGCAATCACTGCGCAGCTGCAATGTACGCCCTTGTTACTTCTTAGCAATTGCCAGCCAGAGCTGTTCACACAGCGAGATTCGTTGAAAGAATCGGCCGTCTCTTTGACAGCATAAATAGCTCGCAGAAATCTGCAAAGACGCCATATGCCTCTGCATTCTGTAACGGCTCTATCCATAAGGAGTTTCTGGAAGAGTGCATTCTGGTTTCTAAGAGCCTGCAAGTACTCGGATGTGGAAGGCAGCCGCACTGCATTCGTGGCTTCTGCTTAACAGTTAGGTCTCTACTGCTGCTCAGCAATCACCTCGCGGTTAATTGCGGTTTTTCCCACCTTTTACACCGCCACCTGAACCAGGACACCCTTGAAAACACTTTTGCTGTTATACGTTCAAACTCAGGTGCAAACACGAACTCCACTTTCCGTCAATTTCAGGCTGCGTTCAGGCACCTTTTGATTAGCAACCTATTCAAGCTGTCGGAAAAATCAAACTGTGCTGATGACATGTCTCTCCTTGCTACGTACCCAGCAGGCCTTTTGGCACCTTCTCCTCGCCTTGCCTTAGGAAGCACAGTTTTTCTTACCACGGCAGACGATTCGCCTTCAAACTACCCTTTGGCAATAGGAGAGAACAACATGGTTTATTTTGCTGGGTGGCCGGCATCGAAATTCCTCAAGGTTCATTCCTGTGTAGGAACATCCCAGAAATATGAGTTGAGGACAGAAAATGCGTGTTTTTCTGAGGGAAATCAAGTGCTCTTGTATTTGAGTGTGAAAGGAACTGCCGACTCCCACTTTGGAATCCTCTCAGTTCCTTCTGCTTCTTTCATATTATTTGTTGAAGCTTGTGAGGAAGTCTTCGAGACATGTATCAACAACCTAATTTCAAAGGAGAACGTAGGGCGGACTCTTTGTGTCCTTTTTAACCAGAAGATTTCAAAGTCTCTGACTGTATGTGACGAAAACTGTTTATAATAATTTGTTTTTTCTGATTGCCAGAGCCATTCTGCACTGGTTCGCGCGGGAAAAAAATGCTGACTATTTGATACAGTAGCAAAGTGTAAAGCTAGGCAGCAAGTGCGCAGACTACGTATGTGAGACCACCCAGAGTACTTTTTAAAGCAGTGCAGGCATGTTCTATTCGAGCCTTTCATTTTCTTCGGTTTCTTGAGGAGTAATGTGGTCCTCTAACTTATTCACGTATATAGAGTTTAAAGCTGTGAAGCAAAACTGGCTTATGAAGTGCTGCATACCACAGGGCTCCAAGAGGGTTTACTCCACTTGGCTTCCTTGACCTGCACCAAACAATCGCTGCGTTGCCGTGTGGCGGCACCAGCAGATGCAAGTTAAGATATTTTCAGCATTATGGTACCTTGCCCAAGGAGAATGTGTAGAAAAGTGTATTTTTTCTGTGTATTACAGTGGTGGCCTCAGTTGCCGTCGGAACACTGTGGAACCTCCGAGTTATTAGTGGCTGCCTATCAACTGTCAATGTCCTCACAACGACCAGCGGATTGTACAATGTCTTATGTTATAACAGTGTGCCTTATGTACCGATCTACTAATTTTCTTCGACCATGACCTTTTGAAAATAGTTGATACCGATTGTATAATTCTAGTGAGTAATCTGAGTGAATGATTGTAAGTGAATAAAACAAATAAAACGCGACTGTTAAAGCGACGTTGGACTTGCATTAGAGTTACTGTCGTGTATTTCATACGCCCAACACACTCCAGCAATTTGATTCACTCTTTTTTGTGACATTACATAATTTGCTTTAAGGTTTCTCACATATTTCCCAGGGATCCTGAAGGAACAAAAAGCAAAACACTGCGGCTGGAGTTTGACCACAGTGCAAATACACGATGGGTGTGACGAAATAAAACTACTCTCATAGCAGGTCGGCTAAGAAAGTCGGCTGCAGAAAAAAAACATTTCGAACAAAATATAAGATCAAGGGCAAATAAGGGTGTAAACGGTCCAGTATTCCAGTATAGAGTAAACACAAGGTGTAAACACCCCAAGAAAAACCCGAGACTGGAGGTAAAAAGAACGACATATACACTAAAAAGTATCAAACAAAGCTCAAACACGGAGCTATGTTTGTGACTTTTTAGTGTATATGTCGTTCATTTACCTGTGATCTCTGGAATTAGTTTTGTTTAATTTTCGCGCCAAACCGCACGCACGCATGACGTCACGTTTTTTCCCGGAAGTGTCGTCATTTCCTGTTGATTTTTTGTTCCGCCGGAAGTGTCCCCACGACTCATAGATGGCGCTAAAGCAGCTCCATGGGGATGGCTAGTTGGGCTAGTTGGTTTTGCATCATGGTGTAATACGCCAAAACAACAGGGACAGACAAAACGAAGGTAGAACTAGACAGGACGCGGCGTAAAAAATGGCAGCTCCATGGGCCGCCATTTTTTCGACATGTGGGCTTCTATGGAAGCTTCGCTACCCATGTACATATACCTTGCATACGATACCAGCACTTCTTTTTTTTTTAATGCGTACACCTATCTTGTCAAGAAAAAAAAAGAAAAAAACCGCTAGGAGGAGTTTGGTTGGAGGGAGGAAGACGCGAATTTGTCACAGACCCTTTGGCACAATAAGAAAATTATTTCGCTATGTTTGTTTTTTTAGAGGGAAAAGGGGGAAGGGCATATTACGCGGTCCTGCAGCGTCGCTTGAGCCGATAAAAAAGCATCGCAAATATTATTTGCCAATCCTGGGAATGATATTTAAATAGAGAATGTAATTTGTATATACTGTTGTTATTTATTTAGTAATACCGTGAATAGGTCAAGGTTCAAACATATGTGAGGAAAGCCTCACTTCACCACATTAGCTGCGCACTGCTACCAACAAGCGCGCCTGGCGAGCTTGTTGATCTCCAGCACTTGTTGTATACATTTTAACGGTCATTGTGATGCAACTTTGTACCACATGAAAAATATATGTAAAAACGACGTGTTTGTGGGTCTTATGTTCGTATAAACATAAGACCCACAAACACGTCATTTGTACAGATATTTTTCATCTGGTAAAAAGTTGCATCAAATGACCGTTAAAATCTATGCAACAAGTGCTGGATATCAACGAGCTCGACAGGCGCGCTTGGTGGTAACAATGCGCACTTAATGTGGTGAAGTGAGGCTCTCCACAAGCAACTTGACAAATGCAATATTAACCACCGAAACCTGTAGCTAGTTCGACCCCTCTTTTGCACGCCGAAATAAAGATTACCCATTAAATACATTATTATTACTTTGATAAGGTCTAACTGCCTTCTTGTGAATTCTTCTCCTCGACCGACGAAAGGAAGGTTTTAGATAGTCCTCACGAGTTCTATTAATTTTACCACCGTAAAGAAAGTACAAAACCCGAAGGCCTGACAACTGATCTTCAGGCTTTAAGAGATTCTAATGCTTTGTCAGTCAGCATAAAGGAACGCAACATCCCAGGCTGTAATTGCAAAAAATGAATCTAGCCGCAAACCTCCGAACCCTCCCATCCTGGCAATGCGGTACGCTGGGCGGGGGCTCCACACAGTGCTGGCGTATTCCAGATCCGGCCTGACAAGTGACCGATATGCAGTAAGCTTGGTCTTTTTCGAGATCTGCAATAATTGATTTCCAGTTTGAAGCGCATTAGGCGATGGTGTACGGTCAGTGATTGGCTTAACTATGCCGACCTGACGAATTCGTATCTGACCAATGATGTTTTATTATGGACCGAGCGGCAGGTTTAACGTATGTACGTCCGAACTTGACGCAGTCCCACACTCTTTCTTGTAACAAAATGTCCATGCCTACAAGAGAGAAGTCGTCGTGTAACCAAGGTTGCAAGTCTTCCTGTGTCCTCTGTTGTGCTATTCCTTTTTACGTTGTCCCCAAATAGCGCAGTTCTTTCGACCAAAATTTGTTTTTTGTCTCCAAAATTAGGGTCTTCAAAGCCTCCAAAAGTCGAGGTACAACCAGACTTAATACTCTTTGGCAAGACCTTTTGTTTTTAATGTTAGATATCTAAACAAGTTACAGAGTTAAGCTTCACTGCCTGTGTGCTTGATTTTAGTTTCTGATGAAATGTCCTAATTTGTGTTCGCTTTTCCTTGTTCGCTTTTCAGCTGGTTTTCTTGAGACTCGATTGCCAAGCAAGCGATAGAATTAGCCTTTACTCCCTGGCTGTTCGATTGATCCAGGGCCTGTTTGGCTAATATCTGGCGCATCGGCAAATTAACTGGCGTACCAAAAAAAAAAAAAAAGAACCGTAAGGAAGTTAAAAAGGCTACTTTGGCACGAACTAACGTCCTGGAGTCTTGTCTTTCAGCCAGCCATGCAGACGTTACTCAAAAGTCCATTTTTTGATCGTTACTCAAAAGTAGTTACTAGATTCCGTTACTCCTTACTCAAAAAGTAACTGCTACTCGTTAATGCAATTCAAAAGGAAGGCTAGAAGGGTGGTGAGCTGGGCTACCAAAAGGAAGGCGTTACTGCAACTTTAAGTAACGCCTTATTCGCTCATTAATCAAAATGTGTGGTTTTGCGAATGTCCAACACTTGTCGCCCTTGCTTTTTAGCGCGTTCATGCAGTGAATTATGGCTATACTGACATACACTGTGCACAGTTTTTATGGTGTATTCATGGTTTTGTCGTCGGGAAAGTGAGACGCAAGCTGGGGTAAGATAAATATTGGGTCCTTGTGTTGCAGAGGTTTCCCTCCAGAAGTAACTCTGGAGCGTTACTGGCTACTTCACCAATAAGTAACCAATATATCTTACTCATTCCTTCTCTTAGAAACTAGTTAAGTGGTTAATTTTGTTACCGAAAACAATTTAACATGCGTAAGTACAGGTAACTATAGGTGCAAGCAAGGCGTTCCGTCCCAGCCTGCTTGTACCCACCTGGTCCTGGGCAGGGCCGGCCTCTGAACGTCCCTGCGCCTCGGGGCGGCGGTGTCGGCCGACGTGGGCAGCCTCCCGCTGGCCGGACTGCTCGAGGGCTTCTTGCCGGGGGCGGGCGCCGACGAGCCGCCCTGGCCCGACCGGTCCATGTGGAAGTACACGTGCGTGCTGAGGTGCTTCGTGAAGCCCGCCATGCCCAGCGAAACGCTGCCATCAGCTGGCCACGCGACGCAGGCACGCACGGGGCACGGGCCCTGCAGCGGACAAGGAGGACTGCTTGAGCCCTTCTCTGATTCGTTTCGTCGTAACTGTTGTTTTACTTTCTTTTTATTTTTTTGCGCATTCACAGCGCCACACTGCTAGCGAGAACAAGCGATCGTAGGGTTCTTCTGTTCTGAATGTGATAGCATTTAGGGGTCACAGGACAATAAACGAAGCTCGTTACACTGCACAATTTCAAGTAAATGATGTGACGTACGGTGATATATTAAGAGTGGACGCTGCAGAATGGACACTAAAGTCTGATTCACATGATACGATTCTGCTGGATAGCTTGAGTTTGGACGTCGCTCGAGCAGCAAAAAAAAAAAGAAAAGAAACGCGGACCAAAGCTGGTGCGCTTGATGTCAAAATAAAAGATCGCAAACAAATAAGATGATGTGAACCAGGCATAAGAAGAGGGAAATCGCCACGGTCAACAACACCGTGTTTTCTTTTTTTTTATTACTCAAGGTTGATTTCTTCCAAACCCCTTTTAAGTATACAATTTTTAGAGGCCTACGATTATACTGTATAGCAATTATTTGTGAAGACGACACATACATACTGGACGTGGTCTTCGGCCTGTTGTCAGGGGGACTGGAAGACACGAACGAGCCTAAGGTCGTTTGAACGCGAAAACGCATGCACCGAACGCTGTCCGACTCGTCCGGGCCAGTTGACGGTTGTCCCACATTCATGTTTTAGCAATAAGAATAAATCCCACGACAACGTGTTAATGCCACTAAAGTACTTCCCGCACAGGCGAGCGAGGTCAAATGGCGTGTAGTGATTTTTTCTCGACAGCTATCTACGTTTTCGAAAACATAGGGCAGCAGGAAGCACGCAAAAAGTGATTTGGAACTATCGCATTTTTTCAGCTCAGCCCCAGTGGCGGCGTTTCGACGAGAAGTTAGGTTTCTACTTGTTTCTACCAAAGGCCACATAACAGGAGCCCCGCCGGCCCCATACCGTGACTTTCTCACACTGCACTATGGAAGTGCGTTTAAAACACCACCTGCGTGGCGTGATATAAGAGAGTTGAGTTGTTGTTTAGGTTGCACAGGGTGCGTCCGACTGAAGGCGGAGGGTGTTTTGTTTTCTGTATGCAGCCTTTAAAAAGATACTAAAAAATAATTATAGAGCTACTCCGGTGAGTATTTTCACAATTGGGATTACGCTTGAAGGTTAACATCTTCGACAGACATCTGTCTGGTTGGGAAGTTATAATGAAAAAAATATTTGACTCCAACCAAAAATTAAACTCCGACCCAACGTTTCAAAACCAGTCCGGTTTCTTCTTCAGGGGCGATTGATCGTGCGTGGGAGCAGCCTCGTCTTCTTTGGTGGCACGAATATCTTCTAATCGCGCTTCCGCCTTGCCATTCAGTCTTTTTCTAATCACGTGTCGTAGTCCACTCACATAAACAGATGGTAAGGTACCCACGGATCTGTTGATATTTCCTGGTGTATTTTGGATGTGCCATGATTCAAGGTGATGTCTTTTCCGGAGATTAGTTTCAACATTAAGAACGGACGCGTTCGCTAAGTCTATCGGATGATTAAAGGCGTCACAGTGCTCCGCAAGAGCACTGCGTTCTCGGTCGAATTTGCGTACATCGTTCTTGTGCTGGCGTAACCTTTCCACAAGTTCTTTGTTTCGCCGATATAAGATGCGGGGCATTTTAAGCAGGGGATCCGGTAAACAATTCCCGGTGCTTTTTCCTTCGGGGGGCGACCTTTGGTATTGGCATGAATCATCCGAGAGTGGATACCGGTTTGTGAGCCACGTGAATGCCTTGTTTCGCGAGCACCTGTGATAGTGCTTCGCTAGTACCTTGAACGTAGGGAACGCTGATGCGCGTGATGGGGCGATGCGGCGCAGCCCCCTTTGCTTGTGGGTTTCGGCGAGCGTGAACCGTACGCTTGGTGACTTCTCGGATGAACCTTGTAGGGTAGCCGTTTTTTCTCAGATCAGCGACCACATTCTGCTCCTCGCTTTTTTTGTCAGTTTCTGAAGAACAGATAACAACCGCCCTGGACATGAGAGTTGCAGCGACTGATGCCTTGTGACTCGTTGGATGGTTCGACTTAAAATTAAGGTGACTTCGTTAAACGCATGTCGGAAGTGAAGGTCAACAGGGAACACAGCATTATATCGTTCGATGTCGTGTTCCTCTTTACCAGCGTTCCAGTACCAGCGCTTTGGCAGTCTCCACAGCCAGAGTGGTTCTCGAAGCAGATTCCGAACTCAGCACCAGAACCAGCCTCAGCGTGGACGAGCTGTGCCGCCTTCTTGGTTTTTGCCTCCGCAGCACCATCTTCTGCTTTAAAGGGAAATTTTACAAACAAACCAGCGGAACTGCGATGGGTGCGTCCATATCTGTCACCACTGCAAATTTGACAATGGAAAGCATCGAACAAAGAGCGCTACAGTCCTTTGCCAACAAACCTGAGGTGTTCATGCGTCATGTGGACGACTGTTTTTGTATATTGAAAACATCAGAAGTGTATAGGTTCCTGGCTCACTTCAACTCCATCGAGCCCGACATCCAGTTCACCGTGGAACGGGAAAAATACAACACTTTACCATTCCTTGATGTAGTGGTGAAGAGGCAAGGGGAGGATTTGAAGTTTTCGGTATACAGGAAGCCCACTCACACGGGACGCTACCTTAATTTTAAGTCGAACCATCCAACGAGTCACAAGGCATCAATCGTTGCAACACTCATGTCCAGGGCGGCTGTTATATGTTCTTCAGAAATGGACAGAAAAAGCGAGGGGCAGAGCGTGATCCCTGATCTGAGAAAGAACGGCTACCCTACAAGGTTCATCCGACAAGTCACCAAACGTACGGTTCACGCTCGCCAAAACCCACAAGCAAAGGGAGCTTCGCCACATCGCCCCATCACGCGCATCAGCGTTCCCTACGTTCAAGGTACTAGCGAAGCACTATCACGGGTGCTTGCAAAACAAGGCATTCATGTGGCTCACAAACAGGTATCCACCCTTGGACGGTTCATGCCAAGACCAAAAGATTGCCCCCCGAAGGAAAAAGCAGCGAGAATTGTTTACCGGATCCCCTGCTTAAAATGTCCAGCATCTTATATCGGCGAAACAGAGAACTTATGGAAAGGTTACGCCAGCACAAGAACGATGTACGCAAATTCAACCGAGTACGGAGTGCTGTCGCGGAGCACTGTGACACCTTTGACCACCCAATAGACTTCGCGAACGCGTCCGTTCTTAATGTTGAAACCAATTTCCGAAAAAGACATCACCATGAATCATGGCACATCCAAAATACACCAGGAAACATCAACAGATCTATGGGTACCTTACCATCTGTTTGTGTGAGTGGACTACGACACGTGATTAGAAAAAGACTGAATGGCAAGGCGGAAGCGCGATTAGAAGATATTCGTGCCACCAAAGAAGACGAGGCTGCTTCCACGCACGAGATCAATCGCCCCTGAAGAAGAAACCGGACTGGTTTTGAAACGTTGGGTCCGAGTTTAATTTTTGGTTGGAGTCAAATATTTTTCCATAGTGCAGTCTGTTTCTGAATTACGAGGTAAAATTCTTTGTTAATATTTTGTGTAGTTTTGTAAAAACCATGGCTCAAAACATTTGGTTTCGTGCGTCTGGGGCAAAGTCTAAGCTATCTGCCATAGAGGGATGGCAACATTGTGCATCAGGTAGACGGCGACGACGACGTCAGGCTGGTTTGGGCTGGTGCTGCAGTAGGCGGTACGATGTGCAACTGACCTAGCCAAGGTAAAATGTAAAATAAGTAAGCTGCCCCTCTTTTAATTTTTTGCGTCGTAAATTTGCAGCGTAGTTAAGATATACATGGGCATATTCATAAAGCTAGAAACCAAAAAGCGAATCACCGCGCCCCGTACTTGGAGACAAGAGCGCGTTCGGTGCCGGCCACAAGGTGTACGCTCAAAGCGTGCGGAAAGGCTGCATCGATATTTTTCTGTTTCTTGCTCGCGGAAATGAATATCGATGGTACACATAAGTAAAGGATGCTAATAGTGTAGCAACATACGATTGAGCGACGTGACTGTTTCGCAGGTTGTATTGTTGTTTGCAGGTGGGTGCTCCCCGACTGAATTGCGTACTATATAGCACCGAGTTTACGCGAAGGGGTAGTTCGATATATGGCTTGGTCGATTTAAACAGCGAGCACCCTTGGCGGACGCTCTCTCATATCGCGTGGTGTAGAACGTTCGTTCTCCGCTCAGGTGACTCTACATTCCGGGGCCCTACGCTAGCATTCGGTGCGCTCATGCGATGGCTCCGGCAGCAAAAACACAGATTGTGTGCATTGTTTACGCACAGGAGCACTAATAAATTAAAAAAACGAATACACTGGAGGTTTTCTTAAAACGCTTAAACGAAAAAATAAATAAATAGAAGAACACGAAAAGCAGCTTTAATCACTAGTTTTCACAACGAAGCAAAGGCATGGGAGAAGAAGCAAAGTACCAACGTTACGTCATAGCCCAGTGTTGCTTGACTAACAACTCACCTGCTTGCCGCCTGCTAAAGACCAGCGGGTCGCGTCCTTAATATCGGTTTTAGCGGAGTACCCGGGCTAACTTTGACGTAATATTATGGCTGTGATCGTATTTCGTGCAACTAAAGCGATACGAGCCATTTAATTTGGTTAGACATTTGACTCAAGTTGCCCTTTCATTTCCTGGACAGGACACGGTGTCAAAAAGTGTCGAAAAGTCCCTTTTGTCCCGTCTCTTTTGCGCTATTTTTAATATGAATGTGTCTCTTTTGCGCTATTTTTAATATGAATGTCAAAAAGTTATGTTCCGCAGAAAACAAAAATAATATTTACATCTCGACTCATAGTTAAAAGTAAGCTTCGCGACGCAAATACTGCAAAATATATATATATATATATATATTTTTTTTT